TTGGGGGTGGAAATTATCAAAATCCTTTCACATCGGATGCTTACGTCATAACATCTATCTGCATGCCAAATTACAACCCGATCGGTTTAAAACTGACAAAGTCTCATACAAACTTTCATCCCCTTTTTTACCCCCTTGGGGGTGGAAATTATCAAAATCCTTTCTTAGCGAATGCCTACGTCATAACATCTATCTGTATGCCAAATTTTAGCCCAATCTGTCCAGCGGTTTGGGCTGTGCGTTGATAGATCACTATGTCAGTCAGTCAGTCAATCAGTCAGTCAGTCAATCACCTTTGAATTTTATATATATAGATAAAATGTGTGGTTGTCACTACAATTGCAAGGAAAGACGCAAATTATTTAGAATTGTTAATGCAGATGCGAATCTGTGGTTCAGTGGAGCGAAATGGAGGGGTGCGACGGGGCTAAGCTGTGAAAAGAGGTATGGTATGTGTTTCCACTGAAGTCGAGTTGCTTTGCTTATTCACATCACCTACCGCCTAGTGCGTGAATTTGCCTTTCTGCGTCGCTTCCTCTCCCGGCGCTAGTCTAATCTAGCCTGTTTTTCCGATTTCTTTGAAGCGGAGTGGAGAAGAGATGTGGATTTCAAGCCATGTGATTGGTAAATAGCGGCACAACTCTCTCCTCTCTGCTTCAGTGTAACCTCACCTTAACGATCACAGTGTGTATGTGAAATTAGGCTGAGTTATATCGCAGCGTATGAAGTTAAACTTTGGTTTTACGTGAAAATTTTTTGACAGTATAAGTTTTAAGTCAGCTATAAGTCTTTTTACATGAACATGTTTCGGGGGGATTCATAATTTATTTAAAGTATAGGCATATTTTTAGGGCAATTGGTGCTCCAAAGGACTAGTGGAAAATGTGACGGTTACAAATATTGACTTACGTTGATGATATTGTTTAATACATCTTGCGATGAATATTTCCCAACATTTCTCTTCCTAGTAGAAAGTCATTGTACTGAATATAAAAATAAATAATAAATTAATATTTTAAAACTAAAGTAAAAATTATCCCAATCCTCAAAAACTTGCCTTGATTTACTTCTAATATGAGTTTTACAAATAAGTTTAATTTCATAGAAGAAGCTATTTAATAGATTATTTTCCTCTATAAAACTAATGATGTTAACAATTTTTTTATTTATGCAATTCTGTGGCTCGCAGTATAAGAATTTTATTAAATACTAACCCCAGCGAATGCCGCTCCATTCCAACCGAGGCGCTCGTGATCGCTTTGTGTGCGTAGTGGCGGCGTCTTGCGTTCCGTGCGGGAAGCGAGACGAGCTTTGGCCCGCAGGGCGGCCCGTAGCGGAACGTTGGCTCGTGCCGCCTCTGCGCGACCGTGCTGGCAAAACTCTACCAATGCAACTCCTAGCGCCAACGCCAATCCTCCCACGAGCACATAGAATATCCCCGCCACTTGACTTAGTGTCATTTCCGTTATGGATGTCTCCTTGAAAAAATTAACCCATAAATTGGTTACAATTGTTATATAATTCATATTAGTATAATATAAGGTGGAAATGAAATAAAAAAATGCTAAAACACAGCACGATAAGCAACTACTTATTAAAACTCACCTCATCTTTGATTACATCACAATCCGGCTTCTTGTTATAGTTAGCCCATTTTCGCCACAGTTTAGATATAACGTCGTCTTTTTTCAAATTGACTATCGCCAAGTTAATAGCTTCCCTGAAAAATTAAACAAACTTTTGAATAATCTTGGCTTGACCGTGGATCGCTGGCGCGTACACGATTCGGTAAGTATTTGTTTCGTGCCCGGCGGATTCCGCTTCCGCGATGCGCCGTGACTCAGGACTGAGCCAAATTATTTAAGTATTAAACATTTAATTGATGACATCAATAGCATATTTATTATATGATTGAACTAAGTTTTTCGGGTTGTATTTCTCAAAAAGAATACAATTCACTTGTTCTAAAACTACAAGTAGTACTTGTACAAGAAAGAAATATAATTATAATTATGAAACTAATATAGGTGGTAGTACATAAAGAAATAATTAGTTCGACTCTACAGTCACATACAAACATTATTTTAGTATGTGAAATGAATATGTGAATGTAACAATCAGCTAGTTGCAAAGCCACAATCAATATAATTTGGTTTTGATTCAACATTATTCTGATTGTTACCTAAATACTTTCGATCCATCACTTGTATTTTGTTATCAATTCATAACACAATCATATGCATGCATGCAAGCATGTGCATAAATTACAATTTACAAACATTATCTATACCAATGAATAAAATTTAAAACTTTCTGTAATGTATTTCCTTGGTATCTTTGTAAATTAATTTGTTTAGGTGGGTTTTTAGGTTTACTAGTGGCACGCGCCACGGCATAATTATGTTTGTACTAAGTACTAATAAAAATAAAAATTTATTTCAATTACAGTAGGAATTTGATACAAATAATTGGAGATCGTATGCTATGAAATGAAAGGGATTGCTTGTGCTAATAGACTCCGTACTTGCATATAAACTGTCAAACACCGAGCGGTCACCGGTGACCGCAACCTATTGTTCTTTAACTCGTCGAGTACCGGTTTTGTAGACACAATTATAGAACAATAGGTTGCGGTCACTGGTGACCGCTTGGTGTTTGACAGTTTAATTGTGTCTATAATGACGGTACTCAACGGAGTACCGTCAACGTCACTTAATACACTAAATACACAGAATTAGTTCTTAACTCGTTAGTTAGTTAGTTAGAATTAGTTCTTAACTCGATAGCTAAGAACTAATTCTTTAATTATATAGATAGTCAGATACGTGTTACCGAAACAAATCGGTTGGTTCGATTTACAAATTGCCTTCGTTCAATAAACTCGGTCGGTATCTACTGAATAGGGGCGCGCTATAAAACCGGCGTATCATATAAAATGTAAATTTTAACTTGTTGTCAAAAATCACGTCCGCCAAATCGTGTACCATAAAAATGGGTAGTATAAATTCGAACAGAACCTAACGGGTAACCGGGGCTCCGGCTCGACGTGCAGGAGAAGGAACGGGGTGGTTTTTAGTCAGTAAGAGTCTGACACTCGCTCCCGCCTCACCCAGGCGGGAGCAGTCATTCGATGATTTCCTCCCTTAAAAACAAAGGGCCGATTTTTCCAGTTTACAATTTTTAGTATTGAAGAATTGTGAAATATTGATAGTTATTTCTCAGTTAAAATTTATCTGAGCATGGAAAAATCGGCCCTTAGTAAAACATAAGTTTAAATTAAACTGTCAAACACCAAGCGGTCACCAGTGACCGCAACCTATTGTTCTATAATTGTGTCTACAAAACCGGTACTCGACGAGTTAATATACATACATATAGAAAGAAGAAATACAAACATGAAGGTGAAATTAGCTACATATTCCTCTTTGTAATAGACAGGTACCTACATGATTGTATGTGCATGTGCATCGTCTGCAAAGCTTCATCATCTGACAGCTTATTGGCTTATATCATGATGCTAGATCGGTATGCGGCAATTTAACAATAAGACTGCCAGTAATATAATTATTTCATCATTCAAGTATTTCAAATTTTAGATGCAAAAAAACTGTTTCTATGTACGTGTGGGAGAGCTACGCTTCAGCATGAATGCGCCGGCTTGACCGAAGTGATACCACGGCCTCACAGAAAACTGACGTGAAGCAACGCTTGCGTTGTGTTTGTGAGTGAGGTTACCCGCGGCCCAATTACCGACCTCCCTAGTCTCCCCAATCCCCGAATCCCCCACAATCCTTAAATTCCAATTCCCAAAACTCCAGGGGCGTTACAAGTGCGTTACTTGTAACGCCCCTGGAGTTTCGGGTGTCCATGGGCGACGCCGATTGCTTACCATCAGGTGATCCGTCTGCTCGATTACCGGATTATCCCATAAAAAAATCACTAAAATTTCAGAATAACTAATACATGGTAATACTTTGTTAAAGTTCGTACCAACAACATTTTTAGAACATTTAACATAGAATCTTGAATATTATCTTTCACATTTTTATAACCTAGTTACATTTTGATTCTAACGTTAACAATGTAATAAAATAAGTATTCATGTTTGTTTGATTTTAAGGAAGCAAATGCTCTATCATCATAACATCCGTTCTGACGTTATATTGATATTATCTCTTAAATTATTTCACTATTTTTAACGTATCTCTATGTGAAAGTTATTAGAACATAACTTCTATTAGCCAGAAAATTGAGAACAATGAATAATTTTGTAATACTGTCAATTCAACCATGAATGTTATAATTTACACAGCTAGATTTAAAAACTGGAGGATTTAGTGAAAATGCAGTGACATCTATCTTATTACAATGTACCTAAATAAGAATAAACTCATATTTTCGACTTTTTTACATATCATCGCGTGTTAAAGATCGAGTAAAAAATAATAAAATGCATTAAATGCACTTTTAATCAAATCCCCATGTATTTACACGTGTTGAAAGATTAAATAAAAAATATGACATGATACTTATAGCTTGTTTTTAATGTATTATCTTCTGTAAATCCTTATCGATCAAATATTGATATGGATCACATAATAAAGGAATTTTCCACCGTGCACCAGCACCAGGCAGATTTCAATTGTTATTTGTAGTAAAGTGTTATCTTTAGAATAAAGTGGTGAGAAATATAAGTGTTTATCGATTGTCTTTCAAATGGAATGTCAATAACGTCAAGAATCGAGTTAATCCGAGTCATCGCGTCGGAACGCGGTTTATTATAGATTTTTATTTTATTACCGCTGTGTTGTGTCTGATAAACTGTTAGCCCTAGTTTTCAATTTAGAGTTTTGGCACGATAACCAATTTTTGAAGATAATTTTCATATTTTTTTAGGATATCGGCATTACTAAACATACTTTATGAAGTAGGTACTGACAAAGCTAAAGAACAAGTATTTTCGGTTGGCAAATAATACGTATGTAATCAAATTGCAACCGTTAAAATAATTAAGTACCTTTAATTAAATTAACCTTTTATCAACTATTAGTAATGTTAATGATATTAGTATCAACTATTAGTAGAATAGTTGATACTAATATCAGAAAATACACGGTAGGTAATTTTGCAGCAATGATTTCATTCATTCATAGGTACATAACGACCAAGATATAAATTGAGTCGTTTGCATTAAATTCTTGCATTATAATATTAGCAACCGGTTTCAGCAAATACCTACATTTATTAATAGGTTTATCTTAGGATTATGAAATGAACTATGTAAATAAATGGTATGTGGTTGCCAAAAGTAATGGAGGGAATAAATGACAGCTAGCCGAGTTCCCAGACATATGTAGATAAATATGCTGTTTAAAGCACATCTGGTTATCCAGCTATATGTAAATATCGGAGCTGCGGAAGACTGACCGGGTTGCCGGGGCTCCAGCTCGAAGTGTAGGAGTAGGAACGGAGTGGTTTTTAGTCAGTAAGAGTCTGACACTCCCTCCCGCCTCACCCAAACGAGAGAAATCATTCGATGATTTTCCCCAAAAAAAAAGCTATAGGTGAATATGACAATGCGCCGTATCACGCCTTTTATACCCGAAGCGGTAGGCATAGGTGCAAATTATGCCACTGTACAATGTAACACCCACTTTTCACGATTTATGTCATGAGTCCCATGTAATAGGGGGTGAGCCTGTTGCCATATACCGGACACAATTCCAGACTCCGTGCTACTACTGAGATTTTTTTTAAGCCCAGTAATACTTTGCCCGACCCGGGAATCGAACCGAGACCCCTTGCCCGGCAGTCGCACTTGCGACCAACGAGGCAGTTAGCTTAATTTAATAAAAGTAGATTCGGTTCGATTCTGACTTACCCTCTGTTGCTAGCACTGGTGTATCTACAGGCTCTTTTTTGGATGTTTAAATGTCAAAAAGGAGGGAATAAATATTTTGCTACTTATTCTATAAACATCAATAATTGGATATGCCTATAAATTACAAAGTATACTTAGGTAGTTAAGTGCTAAGTTGTTAACTAGAGCTTATAATAGCTACCTAGGTACAATCCCACATAGTGTCATGTCTACCATCAATAACTATTTGCTCTTTTATCAATTCAATTAAAATTTATTGTCAACAATACCTCGCCACGTGTTTCAATTTTCTTAATTGCATGCTCTTGCTTACACGATTGTACATAGAATGTAAATATTGATTTTCAGTAGTAGCTAAGTAGGAAATTACCGTCGCTTAATTAGCTTAAGTAGGTATTCTAAGTAAGTGAAATATGCTCCAGCCTTGAGACATTCTTGCGTAATATTCATAGCTTTTACTTGTTACATTAATTAGGCGTGGGTAATTTGTAATTTGAAGACGTCTTTGGAAGCTTACACTATGCAAGCTTACATTATAAAAGCATTGCCTGATTTGTGAATGATCTATTATATTTATTGGATCTTATATCTAATACAAGTTGTTAGTATAGCACACTTTTTGTGTCCAACCTTTTCCTTTAAGTAAAATATTCGTAGATTTTCTATGAAGACAGATAGACATAGAATCATCATTTCGGCGCAGACCATAAAACTATATTCGTGAATTGCGTGACGTGATGAATGAAATTCGAATTCTGGTTGGTTTGAACTGGATAGCCAGACACTTCAGATACCAGACAGGCAGATATCTAGAAAATTTTATAGTCCGATAGAGTGGACGTGAACTATCTACATATAAAGCGCACTATCTCCCAATTAGTGTAAGGTTTAGAAGCACCTTCTAATCATTGACAATAGACGTTTAGTAAACAAAGAATTGATTACAGGAATCTACACCTAATTACTTAAGTAATAGATAGCTATTTCTCGTGTGCAAGTGCATTGAACTTGCAACCGTGTTGGTTTATTTACCCACGTAGCTATTACGTCACTTGATGGAAAAAAAACAATCAATGAAGATAATAGATTAATTGGAATTGAAAGTTTAAGGCGGTTTATTTTTATTTTTTCATTTTGAGAAAAATGTTTATAAGTTACAATCATAAAGCAAGTACGAAGATTTGCTTCTTGGTGACAATATAACTGGACAGTTTTCTATTTAAGAACTAAGAGGTACATAAATAGAAAAACAATAAGTAACTATTTATCGATTACAGCAATCAGTCAGTTTATAATTAAGCGTTACTATTCATCAACTTGTCGTTTAGAAGTATTTAAGAATAAAAGTAATTAGGTATGTACACAATGTCAGATAAAGTCAAAGTCAAAAACATTTATTTCAATTGAAAAGAAAGGTAGTTTTGAACGTCAACAAAAACTTAGCTATTTGCTCATGCCAAGGTCCAGATTCCTATGGAGAAAAACGAGCAAGAAACTCCATAGGTTACTCTTTTCCAATCAAGTTCACATATGATATAAAGATTTACAAATATCTACTTACATACCTTTTACCTAAAATGGTAAGTTATACAATACCATTATGTAGGTAGGTATTAGTGGCAGTTTGAAGTCGTGATCACATATTGACAGTACTAGTTAGGACTCCGTGATCGCTTCGTTACAGCGCTGCTGAAGTACAAGACTACGTCGCGTAAACTTATCATAAATTATTTACCTTATGTTATTTTTAACTAACAGATCAATGGCGAATCTTGAAATATCATAACATGTACATACTTGAGCAAGCGTGGTGAATATATGCTCAATCCTTCTCAGTTCGAGAAGAGGCTTTTGGTCAGCAGTGGGCTCTTATAGGCTATTGATGTGTGAGTGTGATGTGATACTTGAAAAGGCTTTTAGGGATTTAAACTGTCAAACACCGCGAGGACTCCGGTGACCGCAACCTATTGTTCTTTAACTCGTCGAGTACCGGTTTTGTAGACACAATTATAGAACAATAGGTTGCGGTCACTGGTGACCGCTTGGTGTTTGACAGTTTAATTGTGTCTATAATGACGGTACTCAACGGAGTACCGTCAACGTCACTTAATACACTAAATACACAGAATTAGTTCTTAACTCGTTAGTTAGTTAGTTAGAATTAGTTCTTAACTCGATAGCTAAGAACTAATTCTTTAATTATATAGATAGTCAGATACGTGTTACCGAAACAAATCGGTTGGTTCGATTTACAAATTGCCTTCGTTCAATAAACTCGGTCGGTATCTACTGAATAGGGGCGCGCTATAAAACCGGCGTATCATATAAAATGTAAATTTTAACTTGTTGTCAAAAATCACGTCCGCCAAATCGTGTACCATAAAAATGGGTAGTATAAATTCGAAAAACGGAGTGCACCGCCTTCCCCACTGACGGGGTACCATGTAAATTTACGACTTTTCAGTATTCCGCCGGGAATTACCTTATAGAGCCGAGATTTCAGATAGATAGTAGGAACTCTTGTCTATACGGAAATTTACACAGAGTTTGTGCTTATCTCTGGCGTCCGTATCATAGTTTCATTTGTGCACAGTATTGTTTATTTTTATACATAATTATATTGACAAGTCCATTTTAAGTTGACCTTTACAAATTACCTTGATTTTGTGATCAGGAAAATTAAAATACTAAAGTTATAAGTAAAATACACAACAAACAAAGGGTTATGTGTAATGACCGAAATCGTTGTCGTTACCGTTTTCCTTACTTAGGTCACGAGTCCACTACCTATAACGTTTACGTTTAGGTACCTAGTGGGTGGCACTATTTTTATTCGACTTGTATTAGATATTCTCATCTATGCTACAGTTAAATTAAAATGTATATTCGTCACTTTCGATTTCAAAATCATCCAGAGATAACCTGGTGTATTCTTAATCAAAAACGATGCTTGATTGGTTAAAAAGAACACAAACTCGCAAGCAATCCTCCAAACGCCGAGAAAATAAAACTATTTTTTATATAATAATCGCGGTCGCTGTTCTACTGAATACTTATCATATCTGTATCTAAACTAAAATGAAAATTGCACATAAACTTTGTTACCTGAGAGGGGATCCCTTTGCCGTGGCGATTGCGAAATTAACGTGCTTATATCGACAAACACGCGATGGACCACACGATTCTCCATCATCAGAATAAGCTGGTATAGTATCTTCATTTAAAACAGGATCCCTCACGAAATTGCTCCGTAAATTCAAATTACTGGCCTGAAATCAATGTTGGGTAAGGAATTAGATTTTTAGAGTACCTATTAGAATTGTTTACCATAGTTCAGAACTTAGAGTCTACGTAATATATACAACACAAATAATAATAATATTCTCGTTGTCATCGGCAATGTGAAGTTGTTTCATTTGTGACATAGTTTAGTATTTGCATTTTTAATTGCGATAAGAGTAATTCAAACAACGGAAATTAAAGGAATATATCTTATTTTATCGTAAAGGTACACAGGTAACACGCACGGCACCAGCACAGCTCCAGCACGGCTCCATGACAGCGTTTTTTGCTTTAGAACCAATACGAAAGGGTTGTAAGCGTGCCGTCGGTGCGTCGGAAGCGCGCGCTTACAGCTTTTTAAAATTGATGTTATAAAATATGTCCTACGACATACGACGTAAAGTTCATATTTGATTTGAATGACATTGCTGGGTTGGAACTGTGCTTGTTTTTGCTCGTAGACGCTTGCTTGCCGCTTTGACTATAAAATAAAATTCCAATTACGGTCCTGTAATATTTTCACAAATCTATAAATACAACTAACTATAACAATAACATAACGGAATCTATACCGTAGCATACTGTACTGTAATTTAATATGTTTAATTAGATTTGTAGTTTGCTTTTTCATACGAGAAATTGACTGTTTTCACTCAGCAACGCTAACACAATATTGTTGCAAATATCCTTAAAATAAGTGATACTAAGTTTTACTATCCTGTTGAATTTTTATTAATTTATGAATGTGTAAAGTATACAATTTTACGATATTTTCCTCTTGGGGAAAGATATCCTTTGTATGAATATGAAGCTTGATTATACCTTTTTTATGTAAACATATGTAGTAAGAAGCGCTTACAGTAACATTTTCCCCAAAATTGCTGGTATTAGAAATATCCAGTTCTTTAGAATTTAATGTTAAATATAGTTTTCATACAAGTAATACTCACTCGCGAGCTCTTGGGAATGTTAGAAAACGTTATACATCTGAATCACTTTCAAAGAACTAATCTGAGTTTAAATGGCGTAGTTTGTGATAAAAACAATTATTACAAAAGTAATTATTTTCTAAACTTATTACACTCCTCACATTTCTTCTTGATATGGAAATATTGAAATATTTATATACTAAATTTAACTTACATGTTCCCTAAAAATGATCCCTACATGTATATTTACAATTAAAATGAATTTAATGAGCAATTTATTTTGTACTAAAATAAAACTTGCAACACATTGCACGCTCTACAGAACATATAAAGAAGGTTTATATGTTGTGTGGTTCTCTCAATGCGCCCGCAGGGCAATCGTTACTGCGTATGAATTATATTTTATAATCTCCAATATCTTACTTTCCAAATAGAATTTCATGTGAGCTGGCTGGCTGGTTTGTCGTAAATACTCTTCGCCTACTCCTTCAGGCGTGATGATAAAAACATTTATTATAACAGTGGCGATCTTGTGAATACATGAAAAAATATAATTAGAGCTGCTTCACCATGCAGCATGCGGTACAGCAGCATATGAAACGATGTTCAATTCGCTTCGGCAAGTGAAGTGCCTTACAAATTTCTATTTGTTACCTGTATCATGTAAAAGTGCATGTGGTTCTTACTTCGGTATGAGCTAAGTTTGGTGCATAGTTGATGGTTGAATGCGCCGGTTCCGCAATACGTTCCACAATGAGATACGCAGCTAGGTTTGCCGTGTACGAGCAAACTAGGATGAGAGCAAAAAACCACCACACTGTTCCAACAATTCTTCCCGATAAAGACCTGAGGAAATGTTAATTTGTTTTAGAAAACTGTATCTATGAGTAAACAGAAATAAACAAGACTAAAGCCTACTGTCCACGTTGCGTCATTTCGTCAAAAACGATACATAGGTATTAAAATATCAGACTAATATTATAAACGTGAAAGTTTGTTGAATTAGATGTTTGTCCGTCAATTATGCTGAAACTACTCAACAGATTTTCATGAATTTTGGTATACAATCAGGGTAGGGGCTGATTTAGGTGGTAGCAGGATTTTATCCCGATTAAAATGCTCCCATGGGATAGATAACATAGGAATACCCCCGTATTCCAGTTTTAAAAGCCACGGGTAAAAGCTAGTAAGGAATAATTTTGTAAGTTATTATATATATTATAAGTGGTAATTTGTTTGTGATTCAATGTGACTATAAATGTGGATGCAAAAAGACAAAGTCTTGTTTAAATAAAAATAATGGAAGAAGTAATTGCCTGGGGTGTACTAGAGTGAATAAATTAGTTAGAGGATGGTATTGCCGCGGCCATATTGATTTTGACGGTTATAATTATAAATTCCTTCATAAAGGGAATCGTCTACATCTCGTAGAGATATAAGTAATTACATATGATTTTTTTTTTTAATGGGACAAGCCCGCCACAACCTCCCAAAACCGCTGCAACTCCTGTAAGCCAGGATCTACAGTAGATACAACCATGAAAACACCGGAACACTGAAGTCCGGCGCGTCCCAGGGACATGAGTAACTGTCTTGGTTCCCGCAACGAAGTGAATCAGAAGATATTATAAGAGGAGAAGAAGAAAAACTATGGTTTTCACTTCCCTCGGTGAATTACTGCAGGAGACAGAATGAATTAATCCTAAAGGCACAAAGAAGAGACTGTACAACTGGGTGAAGCCCAGTCGCCAAGCACCACGGAAATTTGACTAAAAACTAAGTGGGTCCTATGTGTGAGCTGTTATACTTGCTTCCAATAATAGGTATGGCAAAAACGCCTAAACGCACGGAAATTCGTTCTAGATTCCACAAGGTCCGTATAATAAACTACACCTGACGAAACAATTAAATTATTTAACATAGTGTTACGTTCATATTGCCAGAGATCACACTCCCAGAGTATGTGATGGGCCGACTGCTCGTATCGCAACTCCTCTGTCGAACATTGGCACCATGGTGAATCAATAAGTTTAAATGAGAACAATTTGCCTTTAAAGTTGCCGTGGCCAGTAAGAAATTGGGCAACACAGTGATCCACCTCCAACCATGTCCTCTCCAGCCGCTCATGCACGGATGGAAAGAACTGATACAGGTGGCGGCCCTTAATAGAAGATGCCCATCTACCCTGCCATTCAGTTATAAGCTCATCCCAAACGTCCGTTATTGGCTTAAACAATCTTGCAATTTTATTTCTATCACGTTCTGCCAGAAAGCTTGCTGACAAATTAGGTCTCGCACTGTAGTACATAGCAGCACGTCGCTGCACCTCAAGATCTACCGGAAGTACGCCCGCGAGCACAGGTAGGGCTTCAGTGCTAACCGTCCTATAAGCCTTACACAGGAAAATCAAGGCTAGACGCTGGCCTTGAAGAAGTTTTCGCCGTACCGCGCCTATTGTGGCCCTATCAGCCCAGACAGGTGCCCCGTAGCACACGCATCCCAGGTAGGTTGCTCCGTATATGATCCTGAGCGTAAGAAAAGAGAGACCCCAGGTGGCTTTTGAAATTCGCGTCAGCGCATAGAAGTTTTTTTTGGCTTTCTCACTAATAGCCTTAATATGCTCAATGAAAGAAAAGTTTTTTTCCAAAACTAGACCGAGATAGCAAACCGACTCCTTTCGTTTTACGGAAACGTTGTTAAATTTAATAGACGGCCACGACTTTAGATTTCCTTTAAGCAATAGCTGGTAAGTTTTATGGGGTGCAAAAGTTAAGCGATTTCGTTCGCCCCATCGCGAGATCCTACTGAGACAGTCTTTAGCCAAATTCTCCAGTCCGGCGCGGGTATTTGACTGTACTAGCAAAAGGCCATCATCCGCATATCCAGTCAAAGTACAGCCACAAGGAAGGGGAATCGCGAGCAAATCATCAAATCCTAAATTCCATAAATACGGACCGATAACCGAGCCCTGAGGACATCCCATTGATAAAGACTTCGACCGAGAACAATGACCAAGCTTCAGTTTAACGGAACCGTGAAGGAAATACGTGTATATTAATTTATATATGTTACTAAAACAGCCACGACCTTTCAGTTTTAAGAGTAACATTGGCCACCATGCGTTATCAAAGGCACCGGAAATGTCCAGAAAAATGCCTACTATATACTTGTGTTCAGACGAATTTACCATGGATCGGACAGAAAGAGCCGCGTCGACAGTAGACTTTCCTACAGTGAAACCAAATTGATTGTTGTGGAATTTTGGTCCACCTGGCAGTAAACGAGGAACGATAAGTCGCTCAAGTAGTTTCCCTAAAGATGGCAAAAGCGTGATAGGCCGGTATGACTTAGGGTCATCGGGGGGTTTATTTCCATTCTTGGGGATTATGCGAATGAATCCACGTCGCCATACACGAGGAAATACGCCTTCCGCGATACAACGGTTGAACACAGTTAGGATCGCATCAGCCGCGGATTTACATGCTTCTATTATCATTTTATTTGAGACTTTGTCTTCACCAGATGATTTATTTAAAGGCAAAGTTTTAACAATAGTTACGAGCTCGTTGATGGACGGTAGATCAGACACTGGTGACTCCGGCGGTATAGCTGCCCACGACCTAATCTGTTGATGGTAATCATTGTCTGTCTCGAGCACATCGTCAGGGACAAGTTCGTCGAGTAGAACTTCCGTTGTCTCCTCAATACCAGTGGTGTGAACATTGTTGACTTTTATGTTCTGTACGAATGCCAGATCGACGGATCTATTGGCTTTGAACTCATGGTATAGAGGCGACCACGGGCCCTCCTTATCTAATTTCTGTACAACCCTCCGTAGCAAATCACCCTTGGCTTTCTCCACCGAAGCCCTATAACGTGACCTGGCAACTCTAAACGCAATCAGCGCTTCATCAAAAACGGTACCGGTTACCTGACGTTTCTTTAGTCTATTTAACTGTTTGCGCGCTTTACGAAAGCATTTACGTTGTTCGACTAGATAGTTATTCCACCAGTCGCATCTACGCGTACTAGTCACGGACCCGCGACCAAAAGCAACGTCGGCACAGTAAGTAAAGGCATCTGACATGATTTCAGCGCCCTCCTCGGCCGAGAGATCTCTGCGAGTGAAGTCTCTGGCTTGGGATGCAAATAATGAACTAAAAAAGTTCCAATCCGCACCCTTAGTCTTGTACCTAAAGCTATCATTGCAATATGTTGGACCCTGGGGTAATGTTGAAACAAATTCGTACACGATCAGGCGATGATCACTACACGACGCATCTGGTAGGACACGCCACCTATCCAAGCTAACGTCCGCACTAGAAAGTGTGACGTCAATAAAAGATTCGCCCATTTGGCTGCAAAAAGTAGGTGAATTACATATGATATTAGAAGTACATGTACTGATGAATACGTATAATGTTGGTGATCGAGATTAGATATATCATATTTATATAATTTTTGTTGTTACGACTACAGTTTCTTTATTTAATCTAGTAGCTGGCTCGGCAAAATCTAGTACAGAAGTCGAGATACTTACTATACGATCGCTTGATTACACTCGTGCTACATTATCATAACACGGATCGCAAGTAAAATGTGAATAAAAAAACTTTATTGTACCAAAAATATCCTAAATCTACCAATTTTATGAATGCGAAAGTCTGTGTTTATGTTTGTTACGTCAAAATGGCTGAAGGGGTCGGGATGAAATCCGGAATAGTACTTTTTATCGTTTAGACATGCGGACGAAGCCGCTGGCAGATGCTAGTAATAATGTACGAATAATTGTCGTTTTTATGCAATGTGACTATACCACACCAAAAAAATCATTGAACCCAATCGGAACCGCAACAGTTTGCCTAGCCACTACTTAAAATACTTAAGAATTTGTTCAGCAAGAAACCCTCATTTTTGTACTACTTAGGTAGTTAAACACTACCGTAAACATTATACAATTTCGGTAAACATTTCAGAACTAAAGACGAAGTATAATCTTTTACCCGTCCTTCTTTTATCAATCGTTTTCGTTTTCTTGTAAACAGTACGACCTTATAGCCGCAGTACGCGCAATTTACATGCGACATGGAATTTAATCTAGAATTCCATAGCAAAGTCCTCTTTATATTGACCGCATTACTTAAAATGCCTGTGTATTGTTAAACAGTACCGTTGTATTTTATAAATTCTTTTGTTGGATTTTCTTGAATCGAATATGTACATTGGGATTTTATAACGTACCTCGGCACCACGTCACTGCCTTGCTGCATAAAGGATCCGAGCGAAAACCAGAACGAATTCCAAATGCTGAATTCGTTGTGCAAAATAATCTAAAAGAAAATCAAATTAGTTTAGTATGTGTATTCGGTGTATTGAATTCAGTTAGTGGCGATAAATGGTAGTCTTACCTCACTTGTGCTACTCATGGCATGGTCCAGTTGCGTATCTGATATCGAGACAGATTTCCATTCATGGGGTGAGAATCTTGACACTAAGAACAGTACTATGCTGACAGCAAAGAAACTGAACAATACACAAAGCTGTAAACAAAAGTAATTACTACAATACACACCATTACTGAGGGAGATTGAAAATAATAGATATAACGTACACCAGCATTAAGAGTCGGTCCTATAATGTTTATAAATGTTTGTAGTTAGTCTCATGAGTTCACGTACGAAATTCTAAGCTAAGCTAGTCTATATGTATTATTATGTGAACTGCAGTCGAATTCATTCTAAGAGATAACTTAATATAAAGAAAATATGAAGTTATTGATATCGTACACTATGGAATTATTAAAAATCATATAACATCAGCCGGATCACGTCCATACCTGAACAAAGGCCTCCCCCTTAGGCCTCCACTTCGAATTTTACGTATGCATCATCAAATAGGTTTTGTGTAGATTTTTTATGCAATTTTTATGTACGTTCTAAAGCGTTTGTACTAAACAAACCAACATTATTACATTATTCTTAATGATCACAAAAGTTGGATGCCATGTTCTATTCAAACTGCAGTATACATAGTATTTTTGTATTCTCTGAAGCATTCTGTTTCTACTTTATTTCGATTATTTTTAAAACACGATATCACACTCTAGAAATTTCTCCTTTGTCATGGGTGCGTTAACCAACATAACACATGGTACCTAGGTCCGGAACAATAATTTGTGGATCACACAAAGAGCTATTCCATTGGGGATCGAACCCGCTACACGTTGCGCGATAGCCGGTTGCCCATGTAGCTACTACAAACTGTGCTATTGATTATTTAAATACTTATTCTTGTTACTTGTAGATTGTTCAAGGACTTCCATTATTAGGTATATATTATCAGAATACTAAAAGGCATATGCGTAGGAAAACTTGTGAAAAGAACACAAAATGGCGACTCACCCATATTTCTTTTGATAATGGTCGAAGGAAACTGAATGTGTCCGATAACTGCTTTGGCGTCCTTGTGTAAGTGATCGGTGTGTCTATTGAGAGAAACGGTTCGCTGAAGTCCACTAATCGTTCACGTTCAGGTGTTACGGCTAAAGGAGCGACAGCTATGTCTGCGTCCTAAAAAAAAGATAATTACTTACTACCAAAAGAGTAAACCGTCTGACTCTGAAACAATAAATAGTCTAAAGACACTAAAATATTTTTTGTATAGTCGAATATATAGCACTAAAAGATGAAATAACATGCCAGTTTACTAAATGCGTTGTGTTTACGTTTCCCTCCATTGTACATAAAGTAACACCCGAGATAAGGGAAACTTACCCCCGCAAATATTTCATTAGACATTGAGACTAGCTATGAAATAACATAAAGCCCACACAAGCGAGTCATATGGAGACAAAGAGCTTTAAGGACGAACCTTCTCTTGATATTAGATTTGCTGTCAAATATCTTAGTTAACCGAAGTCGTCTGGAACTACGAGAAGGACAACAGAAAACTGTATAACCTATTTCAAAGTCAATATACCGAGCAGTTTTCAAAAGAACTAACTTTGTTATTATTTGATGTCTCAGAAACAAGCTTAGAAAATTCATAGTGGTTACTGAACTTTCATGGATCGTAGTCATTTCTTGGTGCAGTGATATGAGGAAACTTTTTGTTATAATATGATGTTGATAGAGTACAAAAGTGGATGGATGAATAGTCGAAGCAGCCATGAGTTCGGAGGTAGATTTGGGCATAAGTGTTGCTACCCAATATACCCCGTGAATAATAATCGGAAGCATAACATAATAGGTGTCCCCATTGTTGGCACAAACATTTATACCTGTACTAATTCATCCTAGTGGTGTACGACATAATACACAGTCCTGACAATCCATGTTATGGTTCAATTATAAATTACTAGGAAAATCAACAACATTCAAACTAACTAAGTATGGGCACCAAGTTTAACCTATGTACTTTCAAAGTGAACTAAAGTACACAATGCCTAAATACCTACGTTAATGTAATTAGCGGCATAGGTATCCGTAAATAAGCCTATTAAACCTATCTAAAATACATTTCGTAAAATTATTTCAAAATAAGGGAATCTAGTGAATGTAGTATTTTTAGTAGTTTATTGGAACTTTCTACGTACTCAACTAAGTAACGCCTCACTACTAGCAACATATCCCATCAAATTTTGTTTATCTGCCCAAAGCAAAAATATGACGGCGCCTTTTCAGAAAAGGTAGGTTAATAGTGCTTTTGCGCTGCGACTGTCTGGGCGGGGGGCATTGCTATGCTCCCAGACCTAACCTTTATTGCTTTAAATTTAAACGATAACGTGAGAAGATATTTATTTAAATAAAAATCCATAATACTGTTTGTAAACTTTGATCACAGAAGCGCAAAATGTTGTCTACTAGCCGTAATTTATTGCGGAAAGTAAAAAGTCACGAGTCCTCAGAGCCAAAATAGTGAATATGGATAAATGTGCAACACTGGCCATGCAAAATTTTTTCTGCCGCGGACGCCCATTTTCTCCGAACCGCGACCGTGACAGCAAAAATAAACGAATACTAGTCGACTGCGGAATAATGTAACAATTTCTTTCCATGGGCTATGCTTGAGAAATATTCATCCATACTTCACTGAGCTCAATATTGATCAAAACTCCCGCTTCCGCTGCCGAATGATGATGTCGCCGTCGCTTCATAAAAGCACGACTTCAATGTGTGTCTGTGTGTATATTTTTTTATTTACGGCCGTGGCATTGGTCATAACGTAATACTTCCCTCTGTCAGTCGTAAAGTTTGCGACTTCCACGCATTATGATGTTGCCAGGGTGTATACATGTGTGTGTGTAATAATATTTCTATTAGCCAGGCCACCATCTCCTTTGTTTACCGCGGTAGTAAATATGATTTGGTATTAAAGTTCTCGTGCACGAGTGAATAACGGCAGCATAAATAAAGGAAGATTCTTAATGTATATAGTATTAGATTATTTTTTTAGGATTAGAGTTATTCATAATATAATTTGTTTGTAATCATATAATTATTTTAGTTAATCCTTACTATCCGAGGGTGATTAACACATATTTCCAAAGTTTAAAGGTTAAAGATAGTATGAAGAATTTCGGATTATGTTCAAGATATTTAATAATAGATTATACACAGGCTACTGAATGACGCTTAAGCGACCGAGTGAACTAAGTTGTTATGTAATGAAAACTGTCTCGGTTCGCCCTAAGTACGCAATGTTAGCCACCAGTTTAACTTCTCAAGTTGCTCGTATAAGTTGTCCTCAGTTCATCTGGTTGTTTGAGGAGTTTTTGCCTATTAAATAGATACGAAACATTGTCGTTTAATTTATTCCACTGCAATTAAATAATTGTTGATTTTCTATAATAATCAATGTAGTTTTCAGTAAAAGTAAAAACTGTTTTATTTATTAAAGTTCTCGATGATGTGCATGATTCTGAACATTGATCCATTTTTAAATCATTCCCAATGTTAGATTATTGATACGTAGGTATGTAGGGCCTTTATTATATCTTGTACCTCTACATGATACCTGGCCTTTATTAGTTGAAATGTGAAACTCAATACGTACCTTTCTCATAATCTCGCCAATTACGCCAGTGTAGACGTCTGGTACAGGCTCGTTAACGTATTTGCCATCTTTCAACAGCTTTATCTTGTCTGTAATAAGAAGTATATTTAGAAACAATGTTACTATACCAAGTAACCTTTAAAATTAAGCATCAGCAATTTTATTTAAGTTATCTTTATTTAATATGGTAGTAGCACGGTGGTTTTAGACGCTCGCTTCTCATGCATGAGGGCGCGAGTGCAAGTAAAAGAATTATATATACTTTCTAAGGTTATCTAGACACCATTGACAAACGGTGAAGGAAGACATGTTGAGAAACCCTGAGCTTATAATTCCTACTTATACATGTTTGAAATCGCCAACCCGCATTGAGCCAGGGTGGTGATTAATGCTCAAAACTTCTCCGTACGAGAAGAGGCCTTTGGTCAGCAGTGGCCACTTATAGGCTATGTTGATGATGATGATGATCTTTAATTGCATCTTTGCTTGTTTTTTTATATAGAAATTTTGGAAATGCTTTTCTTTTAAAGGCAGATAAAGTCAATATTTGTTAATGCATTTGTATACAACGCAATCATTCAGTAAATAAACCATATGCAATTATTACTTAATATTTGCACAATTGCCACGAATAAGCTTATTTAATATTTATCGCTGTAATACAGGGTCTTTATTGCTGAATGATATTAAAATGTTACGCTCCCGTGCTGTAATTTACAGAGGTATCATTAACTTTACTTTTATTTTCTGATTGTCAGTGTACTCTTATTTTCTTACAGTATTCAGTGTTAATATTTAGAGATATGATTATGTACGTAACATTTTTCTAAATTTTATAAATTTTTCTTTTTCATATGATGATTACAAGTGGCTAGGTACTTGCTTATCTTAGCTTGCTAGCTGTTGCGTCGTCTATCAACCAATAAAGCCTTATTACTCTTAAGTGTCGTTCGTTGTGGGGTCGCAAGTGTGTGTGTTTTTTGTTTATAATTATCAGTATTAATTGCTTCTTGGATGATCCGTATATTCAGTATCTTTACGTGAGTTACCCGCGATTTTAGTTAATTCCTTAATGATGTTGACTCATTCATCATCATTATCAACAAACTATAACTGGCTACTACTGACCATATGCCTCTTCTCACACAGAGAAAGAAGACTTGAGCATTAATTACCACGCTTAACCATTCACAATTGGTAAATTTAAACTCATACTTAGAAATTATAAGCCCAGGTTTGCTTCGTCCCGATGTTTCCCTTCACCGTTTCTTAATAGTGTCTAAAAAGTATATAGAACTCGAAAAAAGTCACATTGGTACATGAAGTTGGTAGTTTTTGAACCTGCACTCTCATGCATGGGAATTCTTAAACCTCTAGGCCACCACAACACATTATTATATTTTTTTAATTGAATTGAAAGCAAACGACGGATCACCTATGCCTTTAGCCAATCACCATTTTAGCTTCATCTTGTCTATTAAGAGAGTAGAAAACTATACTGTACTGTATAACTATACTGACTGTAGTATACAAGTAGACAAGCGCTAAATGGTATTTGGCTACAGCGGCTGGTTATAATCATTAGAAGATGAATTTTGCATATATGTATAATATCTCAATTCGTACTTACATTTGATTCCTATTTTGCTCACAATTAGATCCATCAGGTCTTTACAGAATCCAATAAATTCTTCTTTCTGTCCGTATTCTGTTGATTTCTGTATGAGATATGGTTCTTCGAGAATAGACACCACTGAATATGTTTTGTTGGTGTCATAACTGGCAGGTGAACGAAGTTGTACATATTTCGGAGACGCTACTTGCAGACCATGGGCATCGCTCCATGTAGCAACCTTAAGTTTAAATGGTAAGTTAAAAAAAAATAAGTGAAAGAGAAAGTAATACAATTATCGCCGCATGCGTAAAAGTTACAATTTTTATAGCAGTCATTTTACTCAGCATATTTTTGGATCAAATAGGCAAAATCAGTTAGTATTACGTCAGTAGTAGGAGTATTAATTAAATTACATAATAAATATATGTACCTAATATTCAGACACATTTTTTATGATCCAAAAAATGAATTTAATATATTTTAATTTAGAATGGAACAGTTGTCTACTGAATTCAGTGGTCCACATAAAAACTGGGGTCTGACCGAAAACAAATTTTGAAAGTTTCAAGTGGCAACTGAAAGAATGGTTCCAAAAGTTTGTACGCATTGATTTATGGACGGCGAGAAATCATTAGCAAGCTGTGGAACAGAAGTAGGGTGAAATAAAGTTAAAATTAACCTTTGCTGAAAGTACCTGCTAACGGATGTGCAAAGTTTATCCGAAATTTAATAAAGCTCATAAAATGGATCTACATTGTTCACCTCTGTATCGCGTGTTCGAATAATCAGAAATGAGTTTAAATAATAGATGAGGCAGCTGTAGTCGCTTGTTATGTATACGCACCTTCAGCATTGCACTTTGTACGGTCATTTCGACGACATGTAGCGTAAAATTGTGTCGATGACCCTCCTCGTTGAATGATATGTTTCCAGTGAGACCTTCAATGTCCGTCTAGACAAAAAACGTTATTGTTTTTTTGTAATCTATTAAGTGAGTAACATAAGTATGTCAATAAATATATTTTATGTATAACTGACCTTTTTGATCAATCTAGATATTTTGTCACCTTGCTCAAATGGTACTACCCAGCTTTTTCCAGGGTTGCAATCAATAACTTTGGTTGAATTTGCTAGTCCCGCAGCGCGTCTCCTGAAGGCCTCTGGCTTCTTTCTCCAGAGCCTTCCCAAAGCATCCATTACAACTTGGACACCATCATACATGAGCGCTGTCTCCGCCTGTCATAAATTATGCTCATCAATACATAGTATAAAACAAAGTCGCTTTCGCTGTATGTCCGTATGTATGCTTAGATCTTTAAAACTACGCAACGGATTTTGATGCGGTTTTTTTAATAGATAGAGTGATTCTTAAGGAAGGTTTGTATGTATTGCACCCGTGCGAAGCCGGGGCGGGTCGCTAGTTTTTATAACATTCTAATAATAGTGTCATCTATGTATTCGAAGGTGAGATTGAGCAAAGTTTTCTATCAATCATTCATTTATTAATTCACATCAATCAATTTGATATAAGTAAATAATGAATAACTGAGCACAAAAAATTATTACATTCAGTAAATGGCGCAGACGATTTACTTTACTGTGTAGATATATTATCTACAACATGTTAGACGCAAAACGAGCGAATAACTATGATGAGGTAACTTAACTTCAGAGCAATCCTCCTGAGCATACGTCGGCGAGTCGAAAAAGGCCTGAATGTATATAACTATACTTATACACTATATAGGAAGTTATATGAGGAGTATCATGGACAAAAGGGACTTAATTCAACCTAAGGTAGTGAAGGAAAATCATAAAAAGCTTGTAATTTCTAAAGTTATTTTTAATTAATATTGTACATTCTCGAGTTATGTACTATAGTCATTCCCTAGTAGACGAATGCAACGATTGACATTTGACACACACAAACACACAAAACTGACACTGAAGGACATTGCCATTTCTATCATCGATGGTTGTTTATTTAAAATACTCTAAGGTTTAAATATATGATAGTAACACCTACTACTAATATAACACGAATTAGGTTAAAGCATCGGGTCCTAAAATTATTAACACAGTGTAAAGTAGACGTCTTTGACCGCATTCAGCATATAAGCTGAACAAGAAGACAAATTCTAACTTTTGTAAAAAAATATCGGGAATTTTAAACAATATTTAGTGCTTTTAAAACAGAATCGACATTTAAACTCATTTAGACAGATTTTGTTCATAAAAAGATACCGGCCGAATTGAGAACTTCGTTTTTGGTAAATCGGTTAAAAATAGAGTAGAGTATACCTCTAGTATTCACATTCACTGAAGACTGTCCTCACATGGAATAATATAATTTATGCAGGGGCACCCCACTCACTGTTTCATTAGGGTGTACCCAAGTTAGTGAAATCTACATAAACGAGTTATTACTTCACACCACAGTTTTCTTCATGATGCGCCATTTATAGCCCGCGTTCTTTACGTTATACGTCAGAATATCGTTAAAATCTCCTTCATATTTTAAATTAAAGTTTTAATAACTTAAAATGACATGCGCATGCTCTTTTATCCTTTAATACTGGCTATGATAAGGGATGAGACGAACATACATATGGAATTTCAATAAGCTGAAACAAAATAAATGGCAATTTGCTTTTCATAGTAGCTGCATAATAACGTGGGGCATCAAGTTGTCCAGGGCTATTTTAAATACTTTAACAACCTGGCAGACTGTATTATTAATATAATAAACAATAAGCTCCAGCCAGCAAATACCTCCGCGTGAAATAGTGACTTAGGAAGAATTATTTTTCAATGTAATAATATCGTCCATGTTGCTCAGTAACGACGCTGCTTTCTCGTGAAATATTTTTAAAACAGTCCAGTTATTTGTGTGTTAAAACGATACAAAAACAAATGTTTCTCCTTTATAACATTAGTTTAGATATTTTTTTATGAAATTAATATTTACAGCATTGTTTGATTCTTGAACGATTGATTATGAATAGCATTTGATACAAGCACCAAACATTAGAAATTAGAGACAATTTATATCATACATGCATTTGTATGTGTGTTATGTACAGACTACGATATTTTTTTATATTTATACCTATACATCTTTTTATAGATCTCCGCTTTGGTAATCTTATGTTAGGTAACTTAGAAGTAAGATATAGACAGGGGCAAAAAGGATAATTATTTGATATTCATGATAAACAAACATGTTTTAAAAATAAACTGAACGGAAATCTATCGTCAGATTTAAATTAGCCTTAATTAGGTTATAGGCCTTACTAAGGCATATTATTTAGTCTGAAACCGGCGATTAATTGGTGATGAATATCCACATAAGTGAGCAGATCATCAACGCTTGTTGTTCAAAGTTAGTAACAGCTACTATCCGTATGCATGCTTGGTGTGAGGTAATGAAAGCACTTACCGATATGGTCCCCTTGAACCGAGGATCCATTCGCCGCAAACCGTCCATGAAATCGCGCACAATCTTACGCGAGTGGTCGACGATGCAAAACCCAGTTATATTGACTGCGCCGTATTCTGTTACTTCGTTCTCCCAATGATCGTCCATAACCTGTTAATGGGCCAATTTAAGTTCTTGTTTCAAGTAATTGTGCTGTTCCGCTGCGAATAATAAAACCCGACACAATCTTCTTTCTCTGAATACACGTCAATGAAATCATTAACATTTTGCAAACAAGCAATCGGTCGTTAAACGACTTTATTCATGGACATTTTGTTTTCACTCACATTGTATATTTTAATATGAAAATGAAATAATATGAACATTTTGCTGTTGAATATTTTTTTACAAAGATGTTAACGAATACTTTTAAATACCTTTCTCTTCCGCATATTTAAAAGTGGGTATTCATTTACGAAGCTGACTTAAATAAAAATATAAATGTAAAACTTACACCAGAGCGAGCAATACTCACCAGTCCGCTGAGCATGTAGTGATAAGTCCTGCGTCCCAATTGCACTTTACGAACATGTTCGACCAATATGTTTTTGGCGTTTTTCGCATTGCAATCTAGTACTATTCGCTTGTTTCCCCAACGGTCATATTGTTCCAAAGCCAACAAGAATTCCATGGCGTCAGAAGCATTATTAATTCTCTTCACGAGTGCGATGCGGAACGCGGTTCGGCCCGGCTGCATAGTCTGGTATAGTTGCTGAAGTCTCAGTAATCCTGTTGGTAAATGATTTAACGAAATTTTAGGAGTACTGCTAATATCATGGATGTCAGAGGTAACTTATGACATAACCAATTAATGAAGTGCTATTTTATGACATTAATATTGCAAAGAATAATGAATATGGGTTGGTATCTCAAACACGATACCTATTAATTAACAGCCTGTTATTTTTCAAACACAATACAGACAACAACAAATAACATTCGGATGCTGAATAGATTGAGTGAGTGACTGCTCTTTTTAAGAACAGTAATACAATAAAAATATTTAATCTGATAAAAATCATCGTAGTTTAGATTTGACTAAACAAATTTTGTATATTATTATGTCTTATGTAGTTATAACGTCAATTATGTCTTCATATCGTAAAAGTATATTGCAGTTTTTATTATCCATGATAATTAATAACAAGTTTTTCATAATGTATTCGTGCTTATATCGGACTAAGTCGATGACAATGAAGCCACCTCCTATAATATGTAGACGAATGGTAACCTGGCAATTTGACGGTCTATGCGTTGTCATCTAGTTCGTTCCTACAGCTATTAGCTTCTGTTAATAGTACGGATTTTACCATCTAGGGTCATTTAACACTAAGACGCCACGCGACGCACACACGATTAAAGGAGCTGCTTAAAAAAGCAACTTTAAGTATTTTCTACACAAAAAGATACAATCGAGTGATGTAGCGTACGCAAAATTCACGGCTACATCGCTCGCAGCAGCAACCGGTGTCTCGGTGCGTCGATGAGAGACGTAGCAGTATGCTTCGTCGAGAGACGTAGCGGTATGTAGGATGCTACATCGGGAAACGTACTGGTATGCTACGTCGCGATGCATGGCTTGACGCCGCACGCGTTAAGGTGCGTCGTCGTTTCCATATATGTGTATATTTTTGGGAAGAAAATCGATTTGCAAATGAAATATTTTTTCTTGATGCCTTCTTCCAATTATAATTATGCCAATTTATATAGAATACTTTTAAATTCTTCAATTGGAAGAGAAATCCTCTATTAATGTTCAAGTTATAAAGACGTGACTGGGATATATCTATAACAACCTAAACTCCTTCAGTACATGGAATTGACATTTAATTTGTCAATTTCACACTTCAATGATGTTACTGCGGATGTTTATACATTTTATATATGTATAATATTTCAACTCGAAACTCAAGATGCTAAAGAAATCTATTATTTTTCAAAACGGGTTTTCTTTCCTGAAAGCTTGAAGTATGATTTACACGTCCATCAAGCTTTTAGAAATGTGGTGTCAACTCTTACAGATCATAACATAATATTTTATTATTGTGAGAAATATACATATTTTATGACACGCCATTTTGTCTAGTAAAGTTAAACAGTGTAAGCGTCGTGGAAAAATGACCTTCATCTTTCTGATAACCCTTAAGACGTATTTTTATCAAATATAATTTATTAAAATTATGCCTATGGTAACTTGCTTATCGGAAAGTGTTTATGGCTACTTTTTTGTCACTATATGAGTTGCATCTCCACTGATATTTTTCAACCATCAGAATATGTTTCGGTTGGTTTAAAATCGGTGTAGTTGGTTTATTAACTTACTTGTTTATATCTGCTTGCATGGTATCAATTCAAAGAATTGAGTAGGCTAACATGTGTGTTTGTAGGCCTATTCTATGTGCTGGTTAAATCTACGAGTTCAATGAGATTCGTTCGGTGACGATGATCATAGATAATGATAAAAAAGACCGAAATTTCGAGCTAACCACGTGCAATGCAATTTTTCAGAGTCAATAGAAGACTTAGTTTTAAAATAACGGCTATGACATCTCAAATATTGAAAACACGTTTGCGGTATCACTGCAGGAGGCCGCTAGCTTCAAAGTTCTCATTGAAATGTACTTTGTGGCGCATCGGCGCCAAAACTATTCATTATACAATGTGACTAATTATTTTTTTAAGTGCGTTATTATACCTCTAGTATAATACACCAGAAAGGAGAGTTTTGTATTGGGGAGGTATATTAAAACAAAAAATCATATTGGCCGTCTGTTTGCGGCGCAGGCGGGTCAAAATAGAAATTCGAAAAGATTCGAAAATATTTTTTTCAAAATTTGTAAATTTGTCATCTTTCCAAACTCTCGTAAAGCTTTCCAGCCAAACCTACCTGAAATGACTATGACTAAACTATATTAGGAAATTTTGAATGATATTTTAAACATCATTTTAATTTAGTTGAGGTTTAGCTGTTTTATTCTTCCTAGATGTACTATGAACATTAAAAGATTGGGAAGCACTGATTTATATTACCGTTATGACCCTTCCCTTCACACCACAGTACATATATATATACATTATTGTAAGTACGCCTTTCTGAACGCCACTCACACAGGAAAAGTTTTTATTTTTTGCCTCTTCAGAGCACGCTTTGTCCCTTTTTCGTACCGCTTGTTTTATATGGGGCGTTTAATTCGATAAAATTCGTGTGGACTCGAATTGGTTTAGGAGAGCTGGGAAATAGACTGGGATATAAATGCCCCTGCCGATGTCGCAGAGAGTATAATTATTTTTCCTTTCCTTTTATAGAAACTTTTAGTTTTGGTTTCCAATTTATTGCCTTGCCTACATTTTGAAAACAATAAATAGATAATTGAAATTGAAATCTACATAAATGACTAAGAAATCGCTTAGTGTCTAGGAATTAGTGTCTAATAGGACAAGAAGATGGAACTTGATACTTTGAATCTTGCATCAAGTACTACTGAAGCATAGTTTGGTTTATTCATCTGAGTGATTTTAAAGATGTCGTTACAAGGTGGCAAGTTCACAATGCTCCAATTGTCACGGGCGAGCCATGAAATCTGAACAGATTAAAAGAGCCATGAAATCTAAACAGATTTCATGGCTATTTAAACCAAACGCTTTAAATATATAGATGAGATACAATAAATGTTATGCCATACCATACAAGTGGGTAAACATCAAGCTATGATAAACCAGTGTAAACTTATTAGGTATTAAATATGCAGAAAGAGTTATAATTATTTTTCGATTTTTCACATATAAATTATTTTAACCGATTCTGAGTTTCGATTCATACATTTTTGTGTATATACTTTGGTGTACACATTCCTTCATACGTTCTAAATGAACTGTATTTTTTAAATGAAGAAATTTATGTTTGTAGAAATGTATTCTGAAATTAGTTATTGAACTCACTAAACTATGTATAACGTGTGAAACGATATCCAAAACAATTTCGCTGTTAAGAGATAAATGTGCGGGCAGAGATGTGGTGAAAGTTTTGTCCGCACCCGGACTATTCTCACCATGTGTCGCGTTTGAACTCGTGACCCTTGAGGTTTTCCACTGTCGTCGGTCGGCTAATGGCTTATAACGTCAGCTGCTTGAATCGCCGTGCGCCCCGAAATCTATAATAAACTTGTCGATCGCGATATGAGTCAACCCAGTAGCTCCGAATATTTTTTTGCATAATCTAATAAGCAATAGTACACCGCGTCATACTAAAACAAATCTACACCCTTTTATGAACACCGCCACGGCAGTCATCGCTATTTATCATCCTCCGAGTAAGTTTTGACGTAGCTGATTGATTACAACTGCTCTTTTCTTAGTCCGAAGTTCAGGCAATAATTGCAGTTAGAAATGGTCGAATTAAAACTTCTCGATTGTCACCCGACAACGGTCTTGTGGCTTTGTTAACCTTTGCGAGGATTGTTACAAAACTCTCCGAGTTCTCGAACGCGGCGATTATGAGCAATGTTAATAGTTAGTCGGAGTTCTTAACTTCGAGAGAGACTTCCAACTTCACCATTTCAGTATTTTAAAACAGAGGTATTTCGCTTCGTTTCGTTTCAACTTCCTGCTAGCAACAATCATTATTTAGTAATAGCATTATTATAGTAAATAGAATTATATTGAGTGAAGGGCGTAAGATTTTACTTAATTATCAATCAATACATAGTATAAAACAAAGTCCGTATGTATGCTTAGATCTTTAAAACTACGCAACGGATTTTGATGCGGTTTTTTTTAATAGATAGAGTGATTCTTAAGGAAGGTTTGTATGTATAATACATGCATATTGCACCCGTGCGAAGCCGGGGCGGGTCGCTAGTTACTTTTAAAAGATAGTGTAAATTAAAACAATAATTTATAATTATCAAAATAAACACTTACATCTTATAGATATAAACACTCCATTTTTTTGGCTTCACATCCGTGGTTTTCGTTACGGTCGTAATGCGTCACCAATTTTATTCGATAGGATCTTTTTGTTCTATTTCAACCCTATATTCCAATATACGCAATGTATATACGTTACAAATTGGATTAGGAAGACGGTTGGTGTTTCACCGGAATTGATTTTACGAGAAACATTTTATCTTGACGAAAGTAAAACTTTACTACAGTCTTCAAGTCTCAAGTGAATAGGCGTGCTCCATCGTAGCCTACCTACACCATCGCTCACCATCAAACGAGATAGTGACTAACTATAAGAAACACCAACAAGTACAGTTTAACAGTTTTTATTATATTTTAAAATGAAAATACACATCATCATCATCATCAACAGCCATTAAGTGCCCGCTGCTGAGCAAAGCCTCTTCTCACACGGAGAAGGTTTGAGCATTAATCACCACGCTTGCTCAATGCGGGTTGGCGATTTCGAACTTATAATTAGAAATTATAAGTCTAGGTTTCCTCACGATGTTTTTCCTTCACCGTTTGTCAGTGGTGTCTAAATAATCTTAGAAAGTACATACAACTCGAAAAAAGTCACATTGGTACTTTCCGTTAGTAGGTTTCGAACTCGCACCCTCGTGCATGAGAAGAGGGCGTCTTAAACCTCCGGGCCACCACAACTAGATATATATACACACTTACACATACACACACAAAATACACACTCACAAGTACAGAAAACAAAATTTCTCAGTAAAAGGTACTTAATGGTCATTGCGTATAGATTACTTACGTAGACTAAC